TTGCAAAGCCAGCCTCTCTATCCAATCTGCATCCTGCAAATTCAATGTTTTCCACATAGTGAATAAGATAACAGCCTGGAATAGCAACTCAAAGTGTAAGAAGAAAAAATAAGTACCTCTTTACTGGAACCAGTTTAAGTACCATTTTGATATACAGAGGAGAAAAAAAACAGTTTACACTAAATAATATCCAATAATGAAAAGGAAAACCAAACCAGAGTGAGAGGAAGATAATCGCATAAAACAACTATCATAAAAAAAAAAAAAAAAAAAAAAAAAAAAAAAAAAAAATGCAAATGTCTCATATTCGGCCTCTTGATGGCTATCTGACTCTTGCAAATTACAAATATGCAAATTCTCATCTTATTACATAGACTACCAGCAAAACATTAGGACACCAATTTTTATGCTTTCATGTGGAAGTATGTGGTAGGCAGCATTGGCAAAGAACTTAAACCTCACGCCGCAACTGTCAATCCAACAAGGGAGGGAACTACTGATCACATCTCTTCCAAGTTCGAAGTGACTGTTTCCAAAACTATCAAGAAACACTTCATTTCATTTGAAGATTGATTCAACATGTACTGATGATAGCTATAACCATACAAGAACTAAAACACAGTTTTTATCAGAATTCATTCTTTTTTAAGTTGCTCTTACCCGAACCACTTAGCAAAAAATTCAAGTTTCCTAAAGAAAAAAATATTTTTCCTAATGCAGCCGCATAATAGAGAGATGTTTTGTTAGTTATTGATCAGCATAATAGCTACATATTATTGTACATACAAGAGTGGGCAATTGTTATCCTTCAACATGATAAGATACAAATGATTCTTAGGTTTCTTTTTAAATTCTACTAGATTCTTTGAGATTTAATTTCATATCACATAAATGGAGTAACATTACATCATATAATTTTCACTTACATCTCATGGTACAATCATGGAATACTAAAATAAAGACCTCAAAAACTAGAAGTTAGGTAGCTAAGCAAGAGGTGGCAACATTTCAGGATACCTCAGATCCAAGAAACCTCATTTATCAAACAAATGTTATAAAATTTATCATCCACCAAATTCCACCGACCCATAAAAGCTCCTAATCATATTCCATGTCACCAAACTTGACAAGAAAAAAAATATAAAATAAAAAGGAGACGGCATTCTCACTTCCCTTCTTTTCTTTTTATTTTTCTTTTTCTTTTTATTTTTCCTCTTTTTTTTGAAGTGTGGATAGAACATATAAAGTTCAAAAACTAGCTAAAAACTTTTAGCTGCAGCAAATCAAATAAAAATTCTGATTTATGTTATAATGCCATCTAACCACATGATTTTTTACATTTTTTCATAGCAACATTCTAATATTTAAAACATATATACATATAGGAATAGAAGAAAGAGAGAAGAAATACATATAGGGGTCTCTCATCATTTATATTGCTAATATATTTAAATCATTAGTTTAGTTTTTCCAAGAGAAAGAAATACAGTATGTGCCATTTTTATTGCCACAGAAATACAAAAAGGAGCGATATCAATTTGGAGAATTTCAGCCTAACTATAAATTAGAATAATAATTGTCAAACTAGAGAATTTGCATACCTATATGCAGAACTCCACTCTGATAAACCTTTTCAAACAAATAATGCCTCCAATTAGTCCACATTTTGCACCCAAAAACAAAGAAAAAGAAAAAAGAAAAAAGAAAGAGAAAATAATTTTGAACAAAACAAAGCTAACAAGGCTATAGAGCTTATACAAGTAGCACAAATGAGATGGCTCAACTAGAAATCATAGTCAACTTATTAGAGGGAAGAGTAAAACAGAGAGCCACTATCTAGTAACGCATAACAAGTCAATATGAATGAAATACGTGTCCCCTCACAAAATTAACAAAACTTAAGAACCACACACACTTAGGCAGGCGAAATCCTCCCAAATTTGCTAGGCATCATTTCAATATTCCATAGTTAGCCCAAATGATTGAATAAAATGATCCAGTGCCATTTTACAATGCTATACATCAAGGAGGTAGTAGATGATTTCATGCTATAATTGAGAACACAAATTCACACACCCCATGAAAAACCGTAAAGCCATAACTAAGAGCTCACTTCTTGTGTAGCTTTATCATAGACCTCAGAATACGATTTGCCAGATTCAGCAGACTTCGATTCTCCATTGTCATTCTAATAATTCAAAAAAAATAAATAAAATAAAACACAAAGCATTGCCCCAAACATATGTAACAAAACCCCGATTTTTTGGCCTAAACTGGATTTATCTTACCAAGACCAGAAACCAATTTGAATTTGGATACTAAACGCATATACTTCTAAAAGGAAATCGTATCTGCATCAAATAATGACACTCCTTGGACACTCGTAGATCCATATCGAATTCTTCCTAAACTCATTCATAATTTGAAATTAATTTTATTTACTTTTGAGAAATATCAAAAGGTCGGGCCTGGTGTAGCGGTAAAGCTACCCCTTGGTGACCTAGTGGTCATGGATTCAAGCCGAGGAAACAACCTCTCCGCTTGCCGGGGTAAGACTGCATACATCAACCCTTCCCCAAATCCCGCTTAGCAGGAAAAGTAAACCTGGTGGTTTTTGAAGAAAATGCAGCTAAACTAATACCATAAAAATTCAAAACATGATTGTTACAATACCACAACAGATCTCATCACACCATCTTGTTTTTTTCTTCTGGCATTCAAACACATCCATAGCACAATATCTACAACAAGAAGTGGATGATCTGAGAGAAGTCAACCATTTTTCTTCTAAAAAACATTACTCTCAGTTAATGACTTCACTTCTTTCCTAACACACTACCTGAGAATTTTAGATACATGCTTACCAACTCATGAACAATACTGTAAGTTGGAACCTGAATCAATGTAACATCCATTTCATCTTTAACTTTCAAAACAGGGCTGAAGGTCTGCAGATTGCCATTATTTATCAAATCTACAGACCTCAGTTCCAGACACCACAAAATTTCAGAAATGTTAACTTCTTTAAGTTAATGCTATTTTTTTACATAAAAATAAATAAATACAAATTCTCATCACCACCTTATTTTCAACACTAATCATAATTGAAAACTACTAGCCCCTCAATGGCTTGTGAAAGGAATACACATCTGCTGAGCAGATTCAAAAAATGGAATTTTACCATGAACTTGTAAAGTAATGAGAATATGATATCCAAATATCAAGATAACAGCACAACACCACTAAATGTGCCCATTTGGCTCATAGCCAAAAGTCACAGTATCCAGGGCTCAGGTCTGTTCACACAAGAATCCCAATCCCTGAATTCCAATAATGATTTCTAGGGTTTGTAATAGAGCATATCAACTGCACAAATCATTTTCATTGAGGTATAAGTTCCAAAGTGCATAATTTTTTTTTTTTCCAAAGATGGGATTGAGTTCGAGTATAAGACCAATTAGCATACGCAAAAGTAACGAATAACAATTGAAGGAATGTTCTCTCAAAATAAAAAGGAGACGGCATTCTCACTTCCCTTCTTTTCTTTTTATTTTTCTTTTTCTTTTTATTTTTCCTCTTTTTTTTGAAGTGTGGATAGAACATATAAAGTTCAAAAACTAGCTAAAAACTTTTAGCTGCAGCAAATCAAATAAAAATTCTGATTTATGTTATAATGCCATCTAACCACATGATTTTTTACATTTTTTCATAGCAACATTCTAATATTTAAAACATATATACATATAGGAATAGAAGAAAGAGAGAAGAAATACATATAGGGGTCTCTCATCATTTATATTGCTAATATATTTAAATCATTAGTTTAGTTTTTCCAAGAGAAAGAAATACAGTATGTGCCATTTTTATTGCCACAGAAATACAAAAAGGAGCGATATCAATTTGGAGAATTTCAGCCTAACTATAAATTAGAATAATAATTGTCAAACTAGAGAATTTGCATACCTAAATGCAGAACTCCACTCTGATAAACCTTTTCAAAAAAAATAATGCCTCCAATTAGTCCACATTTTGCACCCAAAAACAAAGAAAAAGAAAAAAGAAAAAAGAAAGAGAAAATAATTTTAAACAAAACAAAGCTAACAAGGCTATAGAGCTTATACAAGTAGCACAAATGAGATGGCTCAACTAGAAATCATAGTCAACTTATTAGAGGGAAGAGTAAAAGAGAGAGCCACTATCTAGTAATGCATAACAAGTCAATATGAATGAAATACGTGTCCCCTCACAAAATTAACAAAACTTAAGAACCACACACACTTAGGCAGGCGGAATCCTCCCAAATTTGCTAGGCATCATTTCAATATTCCATTGTTAGGCCAAATGATTGAATAAAATGATCCAATGCCATTTTACAATGCTATACATCAAGGAGGTAGTAGATGATTTCATGCTATAATTGAAAACACAAATTCACACCCCCCATGAAAAACCGTAAAGCCATAACTAAGAGCTCACTTCTTGTGTAGCTTTATCATAGACCTCAGAATACAATTTGCCAGATTCAGCAGACTTTGATTCTCCATTGTCATTCTAATAATTCAAAAAAAATAAATAAAATAAAACACAAAGCATTGCCCCAAACATATGTAACAAAACCCCGATTTTTTGGCCTAAACTGGATTTCTCTTACCAAGACCAGAAACCAATTTGAATTTGGATACTAAACGCACATACTTCTAAAAGGAAATCGTATCTGCATCAAATAGTGACACTCCTTGTACACTCGTAGATCCGTATCGAATTCTTCCTAAACTCATTCATAAGTTAATGCTATTTTTTTACATAAAAATAAATAAATACAAATTCTCATCACCACCTTATTTTCAACACTAATCATAATTGAAAACTACTAGCCCCTCAATGGCTTGTGAAAGGAATACACATCTGCCGAGCAGATTCAAAAAATGGAATTTTACCATGAACTTGTAAAGTAATGAGAATATGATATCCAAATATCAAGATAACAGCACAACACCACTAAATGTGCCCATTTGGCTCATAGCCAAAAGTCACAGTATCCAGGGCTCAGGTCTGTTCACACAAGAATCCCAATCCCTGAATTCCAATAATGATTTCTAGGGTTTGTAATAGAGCATATCAACTGCACAAATCATTTTCATTGAGGTATAAGTTCCAAAGTGCATAATTTTTTTTTTTTCCAAAGATGGGATTGAGTTCGAGTATAAGACCAATTAGCATACGCAAAAGTAACGAATAACAATTGAAGGAATGTTCTCTCTTCATATATGGATTTGGTAATGGTGGTGATGATAGATCAAAAACTTTATGACAGAGATCCACAATCCTTTTCTAGTGGAAAAACGGGGTGCCCCCTCCCCTGTCCTCCCTATATCCTTCCACTGCTCTTAAGTAATGTAGAAAGCCTGTAGGACAAGATATGAAAACCTCTCAAGTCTTCAATAATAGGAACGGGAAACTATGAAGCAAAGTCCCACATTGCTTGGCCTTGTTTGGGAAGCTGGAGTTTTAGCCAAAAAGCCAAAAAAACACTACAAAAAGTCAACCCATTCTCTCTACTTTTTTCGTAAAAGATCAAAAAGCCACTAAAAAAGCCAATTCCCAAACCAAACAAAAGTAATGTTAAATATATAAGCGTGAGGATACCCTCACTTCAACAGCTAACTTTTGGGTTTGAATTCTACCCAAGGCTGCATAACAACATACAGTCAATATCATCATTGTGGGACACCCTATTTAATTTTCATCTAGATAGCACAAACACAATGTGTCTAAAGTTCAGAAGTAGTTTTACTGTTCTAGTACAATAGAATTCAAAAAACCTATTCACGTTGAGAAGGATGATGACAATGACGATCAAGTCCATAATCAGCTAGACCAAAGCATGTATCTAGAGCCAGACAAATTCCTCAAAGTTCTCTTTCCATCAGATTTTCTCATACAACACAATCACATTGTTCATTTGGTGCTTGTGATGGAAAAATCCATATATTCTTGCATGCAAAATGCACTGGTGGACAGCCAATAAGTTAACACCCATCAGTTTATAAACATATCAATACAATTGATATGATCATTAGGTAACATTAGTGAGCAAATCAAAAAAACCCAAGACCAAGAATGACGCATTGGAATACACACGAGAATTAGATATTGTTCTAGTAGATGAAGGGGGTCTTGAATCCATAAGAAATATGAAACCTTAAATCCACGAGGAAGAGAAAAACTTATTGATCAAAAGTTATAATTTTGCTCAAGACTTACATATGTATTTACAATAACCTAAGACTTGGTGTTCAAGTAATTTTGGACACCAAAAAATCTAAAAATTAGAAGACAATCAACTAGTTTAATTCTTGCAAAGCAAATAACCTAAAATTAGGAAAATAAAATCAAACCAAATTAAAAAACCTAATAATTCTGGAATATTCTATACTAAAATTATAAGCTTCGTAATAAAATACTATATCAAAAATATTTAAAATATAGAAACTTTTAAAATCTTGTCTTGCATCAGTAGTACCAAAATCACTAAAACCTCTCTCTGTCACACACACACACACACACACACACACACACACACACTCTCTATCACAGGAGTTTATAAACATATTGATGCAATTGGCATGATCAATTAAACATATTTGTTCAGTAACATTACTGAACAAATAGAAAAGACCTAAAAAGTGTACCAAATTCAATCAAACCTCCTCACATACACACACATACTATCAGGGGATTTTGAAACCTTGTCATTTATTCTGTGTTTGATGGAACCAAAAAGAGCATAGGAAGACAGACAAATAGCTGGTATCAGATTAGATGACAGTGGTAACAGCAAAAATGAGATGGAAATAGTAATCAACGCATGAGAAATATCAATCTGACCAAATCACCAACATGTTTTCATTTGTATCATTTGCTCTAATCTGCAAAGGAATTTTCTACTGATCATGACCCAAAGCCAATAGGCTTTCAGAAAAATCAAATCCCCCATCTCAGTCTTACCATTTTCAAATCTGAGCCTCCAATTTTTAAATCTGGGCACACTTTTCCTCAATTGTTGGGTCACAAGGCTTGGTTTGGTTTAGCTTCCATTGTTCAACCTTCCTTGTGAGATCTGCATAACAACAATTTTATCCTTTGACGCTCTTTGAATGGGGGGATTTGAAGTCACAAGTTGGGTGACTACTCAAATTTCGTACCAAAAGGGAAAACAAGCACTCATTCTCCAAACTGCATCAGGATCACATCAACAATGAAGTCATGGATTCTTCTAAGAGGCCCCAACTACCGTGAACTTTGATCCCCAGTTCCTGCTTGGTCAAAATTCATTTGTATAATTTGCTCTGATCTTCAAAGGTGATTCCTACTGATCATGGACCAAAGCCAATAGGCTCTCAGAAAAATCAAATTCCCCATCTCAGAGTCTCAACATTTTCAAATCTAGGCCTCCAATTTTCAAATCTGAGCGTACTTTTCCTCAATTGATTGGGTTACAAGGCTTGGTTTTGTTTAGCCTCCATTGTTGAACCTCTTCCTTGCGATATCTTCTTAACAACAATTCCATCCTGTGAAGCACTTAAACAGTAGGCTTTAAAGTCACAAATTGGGTGACCAATCAAATTTCTATTCCAAAGGGAGAAGAAGCAATAACACTCCAAACTGCATTCAGGAGCTTCAACATTCGCATAATGTTATCATGCCATCAATGTCAAATGGAAGCATTTTGTGAACAATATAAATCTGGACAGCCTCAACAACCATATGAATGTTTTTGAATGGTGAATCATTTTACAATCACACAAAGGACGTGAGTTAAGCAATATTTTATAGTAGCTTAGCCAAAATGTGATTTACAATCTGAACTGACGAGGAAGCCGGCCACATTTGCTCTGCAATCTCAAAATTTCTTTTGCAAAACCTTGATTACCAGTAAGCAAAAGCCCATTCAAGACACGATTAAAAGTGAACTTCCGAGGCAGATACCCTCTATTAACCATCTCTATCAGCAACTTCCCAGCCACCAACAAATCATCCGATTTCTTCCTGACAAACATCGCGCTTATCAAAATATTATATGTATCTAAATTGGGCAAACAATCCCCACTTCCCATTTTCTCAAACACTTCTAAACCCTTGTCAATTTCTCCAGCTTCACAATAATAACGAATCACAAGATTGTAAGTCTGAACATTTGGCTCACACTCATCATTCTTCATTCTATGCACATATTCCATAGCCATATCCATTTTCCCCACATGACACAATCCTCTAATCACCACATTATAAGTCATCGAGTTAGGCACATAACCCTTCCTTAACATCTCCTCAAATACCACAATTGCATTTTCTACACTATCTTTCTTACACAAAACCTGAATTAATGCATTATGCGTTGCCACCGAAGGAAGGACACCTTTGCCAATCATTTCATCGAACACCTTTCGAGCCTTTTTTACCTCACCCACAACACCAAACCCATGAACCACAGTAGTATAAGTAACAACATCAATCTCACATTTTCTATTCTTCATCTCCAAGAAAAACTCCCAAGCTTCCTCAATTTGACCTGCCCTAAAAAACCCTTTAAGCAATATATTATACGTAATCAGACTCGGATTCAATCCTCGCTCCACCATCTCCTTCAAAACCTCCAACGCCTTGGGCGTTCTCTTAATTAAACAAAACCCATTTGCAATTATGTTATAACTAACAGTATCAGCCCTAAATCTACCCCTAAAAATCTTCAAAAGCGAATAAGCCTTTTCGACACGCTTAGATTTGCAGAGAACATCAAGAATAGTATTGAACGAATTCAAATCCTGAGGACAACCATGATGGTGCATTGACAAGAAAATTTTAACAGCTCGATCGGGTTTGCCAGAGGCCACGTACCTTTCGGTGATGATTGCGAAGGTTTTGGGGGTGGGTCCGAGGCGGCGAGTCTGCATGGAAGCGACGAGGGTCCAGAGGGTCTTGTAGTCGCGCAATCGGGCGGCGATGTCGACGGCGTGGTCGAAGGCGGCGGAGGAGTGGGTGTAGGAGTGGTGGCGATCGAGGATTTTGAAGAATTGGAGAGCTTTGGGACCATGGTTCCAGAGGCGTTTGAGGACTCTGGTGACCAATTCGGGTGTCCATTGAACTGGGTGGTTTTGTAGGGCTGTGGTTAGGGTTTGTGGGTCGGATTTGAGGACTAGGTTGGCAATGGAGGTTTCGTCTTGTGGTGGTGGTGGTGGAGCGGTGGTGGTGGTGGTGAGGTTGTGAGGAAGGAGATTGAGATATGGAAGAAGAGTGGTGTGGTTGTTTCTGGGAATTTGATTGGAAAGAGCGAACATTTTCGGAGTCAAATTTCAAGCTTTTGCTCGTTTTCCAGCACTTGGATCCATGCAAGTTTTGAGCTTGTGCTTATTACAGTTTAAACTCGAAAGATTCTTGAGGAGGAGCTCAGAATTTTGAAGGCAGTTTTGCTGACGGAGAAATTTACAATGTGCATGTGCACCTTAGAAGTTAGAAGTTAAGGAATGATAATGTAATAATATTTTGTGATTTTTGTTACCACATTTTAAGATTTTATTATGATATTTTTTTAGTAAAAGAAAGTTATGACCTTTACGTTTAAGTTATGAAATTTTGTGAAAAAATTATGAAAGATATATTATATGTATATTTTTTTGGAAATATATATTGTAATATCTCTATTTGTTGATGGTATTATCACCGATAAGTTATTGATGGGTTTTGGCACCGCCAGGTGAGTCTAAATGGTAGTGTGATGGGTAAAGTGGTGACATTCACGAATTTCTAATTAGTGATTAATAAATATGATGGTGAATTATGATTAGTGTAGGGTATGGTTATGTGATTTTTAAGGTTGATCAATAATTTTTTTTTTGTTATCAACGGAATTTTAGATAAATTACACTTTTATCTCTTCAAGTATGCTTGTTTCTCATTTTGCTTCCTTTTAAACTATTCGTTTATTACTTTACTACAATTTTCATGTTATATTTTTGTGACAAGTACTGCAACATGGGCAACTCATTCCTTCTCTTTTCTTTTCTTTTTCTTTTTTTTTAATAATTGAATTTTGGAGTCTATTTGAGTGCAACTCAATTAATTTTTGAGTCTTTTTTATTTTTTATAATCTGATATTCAGGCCACCTCAACTAATTTCTAAGTTTTGAAGTTAATGACTGGTATGTCTCAAGTCTTAGACCCAACTCTATACCTTTCAGATTATTTATTTTAGTTTCGGTGTCCCAAGTGTAATGTGATGTATTAGTGGTTGACGATTTAAACTTGTGTAATCTTCTTGACGTTTTTCCAAATGAGAATTTTCGATTTTTGAGCGTAAAGATGAATCGGTAGAATGTGGAATGCCTTATAAAAGTTTTTGATCATCAGGTGGTGTGACACTCCAAATATTGAATTAATATAACAAGAACAAAAGTAAAACAAAATATTGAATTTTATAAATGAATATGATAAGCATGTGTTTTAATTTAGGATAAATATAGAATTAAGCAAAGTTGTAAATAAGCTCAACAGAAACATTTTTTTTTAAAAAAAATGTAATTATTTTGGATATTTGGGCCAAGGTGTAAAATAAGCATGAATTCTAACTAATCTCCTACTTGCTTGGAAGTAGCCAGCTAAGTTGCTTGGAGATAAGGCTTAGCAGGGTTAGCTCCTAAGATACTTAGACTGGGAAACGTGGCAGTAATTTACAGCAACACTAAGGTGGTGTTTGGGAAGCAAGTTCCCAAATTTTTTTTTCATTTTTTTCACTAAAAGACAAAAGTTTTGCAAAACCAAAAAAAACACATTCAAACAAAATATCACATTCAACCCCATAATCATTTCACTTTTTCCCTCACAAACATCACATCCAATCACATAAAAATCCAACTATCTTCCCAAACACCAAAATTTTGTTATCTCATAAAAACCTACATCTAATAAAATCTACATAAAAACTCACTTCCCAAACACCATCTAAGTATAAATAGGAGTATAAAGCATAGTTTAACCATCGAAAGATAAGAAACAAAGGTGCTTCAAGTAAGTCAGTAGAAAAAGGGGGAATTATTTTACATATATTTTGAACTATCATGATTTATTTTATACAAGTTATATTTTATAACTTATATTTATATTTCAATTACGTTAATTATTTTCTGAACTCTATTTACTTAAATCAAAACCCATGAATATGTTTGTTTAAATTTTAGAAATTATTTGACAATGATTTTGTAAACAATTATTTTCTGTAAGTACCACCACAGGAGTCCCATGTCTTGGAGAACTTAAATAACCATTGACCTCTGTTTGGCTACTTTGTGGTCCTCTGTTTGTCATGGATCCATTGACCTTTATTCTGACTGTCACTCATGTGACCTCTGTTCTGTTCTGATCTGTACCGTGGTTATAGTTAATTATTTACATAATTTTTGTTTTTCAGTTCCTACCAATTAAATAATTTAGTTATTCAAATTAAGTTATGTAAATGTTTTAGCTTTGTATTCCCTATATTCTTGGCATAATATTTCTCACTTTGCTGTGTGCTTATAGCTATTACCCTTTCAGGTGACGAGATGTAAGGAAGACCCATAACCTCATGTAGTGGAATCCATACAAGAATTTGATATTGATCCGTTATTTTGTTTTCCTTTCTTTTTTTTTCTCTTTGTTTTTTTTATTGAGGGTCAATCGCTGAATAAATAAATAAATAAAAACCCTATAAATGTACTTTCTTTTATCAAAATAATCGAATGAAGTTAATTTTCTGTTTAATTTTTTTTCTTATTTCCATATTGCCTCCGCCTGCGCCTTTAATTTGTTACGATTAAAATTATTTAATAAGTTACAATTCCTGCCCTAATCCCCTAGGGTTGGGCCATGACAGGTAGGTCCCACACATGTAGTGGAGCATGCCCACATGTGCGATAATGGAGCAATTTGGAATTTTCCCTCTAGAGTAATCCACACGTACGGTGGGGAGTCCTGTATGTACGGTAAAGATCTCCACGCGTGCAGCCAAGCGCATTTTTACTTCATTTTTCATGCATAATCACTTGATGAGCTGGACCCCATTTCATTTTCTTTCATCTCTCTCGGTCCCCACTCTCTCTAAACCTTATTTTCTCTCTTATCTCTCTAAAGCAACCACCAAAAAAATTCGCATTTTCTCCAATCCACCAAAATCTATTTGGTTTTTTATAGTAGTTCTTAATGCCAAAATGGCGAGCGTCTCAAGGGTTACGTTTTGATTAGTGGAGATTGAAATCCAGCAAAGTCAATTTTTCAAGCTTTTCTCCTCTTCTTCCCTTGAGGTAAGGATTTCTTTGTTTCTTTTTAATATTTCTCTATAAATAGATGAGTGGTATTTTTCTAATGCATAAAATGTGATTTTAGAATGGATTTTTGAAATACATTTATGTGATAGTTAGAGTTTTTGGATTTGGAACTTAAACCTTCAATTATTGTGTATTGTGGAAGATTTTAGCTATTAGATATCATTTTTATGAAGTTTAATACAAAAAGCCCTAATTTCTTAGTGTTTGAAAATCTTAAGAGATAAGACAAGTTGATAAATTTCATGATTACATAATTAAATTAATAATTTTGGATAGAAAATACATTTAAGAAAGGAAAGAAATTATTTTTGTTTATTGAGATTGGTTTTATTATAATTTTTAGTGATTTAAATTAGTAGAATAAATAATGAAACATATTCATGGTGATTAAATCAAAAAAAAATTAACTTTAATTTGCTTGATGATGTTTAGTAACGAGGTAAATGATGTTTCTAAGAATTAATGAACTATATCGATGATTGTGATTCAAAATGTGAAATAGAAGAGACGGAAAGAAATGAATGGTTGATGAGAAATTAAGTTATGTTGAAAATTAGAAAATTATGGAACTTAATTAAAGGAACTATGTATTGTTTTGATTGATAATGTTAGGAATTTAGTTGACGTTGAAAATATCGAGATTGGGTATGGTAGTCATGTTAAACAATTATTGTGGACGTCAATTAGATGATTTTGATGATAGAGTTATATATTATTCAATTTTGATGGTTTATGTTAGTTAATACTTAAAGGTTTTATCCTTGACCATTGGTGGATGATGATATTGTGTGTTGTAGAATGAGTCGGACATATTATGTGTTGTTATTTTGTTTGCTTGGTTTAATTCAAGTAGGAACATGATGAATGATGAAAGTGCTATATGGAGGTTCCGCTTTCCTTATTGCTAGGACCTAGTAAAGCATAACGCATTGACGTAGGTTCTGTTTTCCTTCTGGTTTGCACCCGATAAAACATGTGGTCTGTTGGGCTATATAGAGGTTTCATTTTTCTTTCGACTAGCTATCGGTAAAGCGTGGTGCTTTGAGATAGGTTCCAGTTTTGTTTCGGTTATCACTCGGTAAATTGTGTTAGAATAACTTGATGAAGACAGGTTGGGAAAAGTGAATTGTTCATAGGTTATTTGTGTAATTATGTGGAAATGTGTGTTTACATGGTGGAATCATGATAGGGACTTAAAACGCATAGTCGTGACAGTGTTGTAATGAATTGGATTTATGATCGTTGTCGTAAGTGATGAATGTAAGGCTTGGTAAAGGTTGTAGATCCTTATAGTTGTCTTTTATTTGTGAGATAATGAGATGATCTGGGTGAATATGATTTTCCTAATTGTGATAGAAATCGGAAAATTTTTGAGAAAGATAAAGTTTAATAGAAGAAAAAGAGAGGATTTTCTTGAATTGTTAAGGGAAGTTATTTTGAAAACGTGTACTATGTATGTATTTTTGGATACTAAAAGACACATTACTTATTCAATTATCATTTGAGTACATTCATGATCACATATACTTACAAGTTATTATTGATTAGAATCATTGTAAATCCCTACTAGACCGTTGTGTTCATCCCAGTTGTTAAACAATTTTTTACGTGCAGAGTCGGATGCGTCATCCAAGAGTCAAAGAGTTGTTTTGTTGTGACTTAGAGACTGATTAATTGTTGGCGAAATATCCTTGTAATGTAACAAGAATGTATCTCTATTCATTATTACTATTTTATCATATAACTCTCAATGGAAGCCCGATGGCATGTGTTGTAATTCTTTGTAATCATTATATCTTTCTATTCTTTTCATTATAGTTGTTTGTTGTAATAATTTCTAACCCCACTTCTTTTTATTTCTTTCATTATAAGGGCTTGATGTAATAACTTCCAACCTCCATTTCTTTCTATCACTTTCCATGTACATCTTTCACTCCCCATTTCTTTCTATCCCTTTTATTTCCATACTTTTCATATATGTTGATAGCATCATGTTTTCATTATCATAATCCTTATGCTTGCATCCATGTTTCATGCATTTGGATTCGGTTCATTGGTGTTTATGGACTTTATCATTTTTTATGTGATTTTGTATGTTACCTCATGTTTTGAGATGATTCACAAGTCATGTACTAGTAGCCAAATCTGTAATCGCATTCT